ACTCTCTATTCAGATATATATCCATATAATAATATATGATAATATTGTATCTATCTATCTATCTATCTATCTATCTATCTATCTCAATCTTCTGTCTGTCTATCTATCTATCTATCTATCTCAATCTTCTATCTATCTATCTATCTATCTATCTATCTATCTATCTATCTCAATCTTCTGTCTGTCTATCTATCTATCTATCTATCTATCTATCTATCTCAATCTTTTGTCTATCTATCTATCTATCTATTTATCTCAATCTTCTATCTATCTATCTATCTATCTATCTATCTATATATATATATATATATATATATATATGAATAGTAAATATACATTTTGTTCCTTATCATTTGGTACAACTCTGAGTTTCATGCATGTGGCAGTCATCAGGCAGAGACTTAGAACTGAATGTTGTAAAAATATATATGCATAAATATATATAATGAGAGAGATATATATTATTATATATTATATTATTTGGAAGAAAGATGTATGACAAAGTGGAAAATCTCTTTGTGTGACACGTTTTGTCCCTTAGGACTTCATGAGGCTAAGCTTGCTTACTTTGACACAACTACACATGCAGATGAACAAGAGACGCTGGGAATTTAAAATTTTTAAAATATTTTTGAAAAGATTTGTCACAACTATATCTAAAACAATAAAAGAATTAATCAATACAAAATAAAAAAAAAAAACATGTCAAAGCTTGAAGATAGAATTTACTCTATCACCGGTAAGGATTGCCAGAAAGAATATATTGGAGAAACCTCAAGAAGTTTAAATAAAAGATTATATGAACACAAAAGAAATATTTTTAATAAACAACACACAAAATGCATTGTTTGTTCACTATAATGAGGCTGACCACAATTTTGACATAAGAAGCTGCAAATAAAAAAGAAAATAGTTCATCAAAACAAAAATGTTTAAAAGCTGCTTTAATTGCTGCTCGGCCTGGGGGCTATGATCAAAGTGTAGTACGCTGCCTTTGTGAGCTTCCGAGTCGGCGTCTGTTGAACTCTCTGCATTAGCAGAGAGGAACCCGGACGAAGCTTTGCCGAAGGGCAAGGTTTCGTTCGGGGAGGTAGACAGGGCCTGAATCCGTCTAGGCGGGTTCAAAAAGACTATATTTTTGGCTGAGCCTACGGGCTCGGAGATACCCACATTAAACTGGCCTTGTGCCACATTCTATCCTCGTGGGTGGATTGATAAATACTAAGCTGCTTTAATTGCTAGTTCATCTACAGTAAATTTGCATCTTGGTTCTGACAATGTTTTACCATTCTTGGCAGATCTTCTGTTATAAGAAATGTGGGGATATTTAATAACAGAGATGAAAAAAGAAAAAAGAATCTAAATGAAATGAGCTAGATTATATATGATCAACACATTATTAAAAAAATAATAAAAGAATTAATACAAAACAAAACTAAGTTTGAAGGAGGAATTTACTCTATTAACTGTAATAATGACCACAAAGAATACATTGGAGAAACCCCAAGGAAGTTAGATAAAAGATTATATGAATAGAAAAGAGATCTGTTACAGAACACATTAACTTTATTAGTTGCTCAACATAATGAAACTGAAACTGACCATGATTTTGACATAAAAAATGCTATTCTAATTAAAAGAGAAAATAATTCACTAATACAAAAATGTTTAGAAAGTACACTAAATCATCCACAGTAAATTTGCATCCAGGCTCTTATAACATTTCACCTTTCTTGGCAGATCTTATCATAATGTGGAATATTTAATAACAAAGATGATGGAAGAAGAAAAAGTATCAAAACAAATTGAGTTAGATTATATATGCAAAACACATTATTAAAAGAACAAAACCCGAAACACAATATTGAAAGAAAAAAAATGAAAGATTTTTCAGAAATATTTTCAAAATTTAAAATTGCCAGTTATTCATGCACAAGGCAAGCAAACCTAGTCCGCTGAAGTCCGGAGGACCAAAATGCATCAGACAAAATTTTTTTCCACTTTTTGTACATCTTTCCTCAAAAACTGTTCTTGATATATAAAAAAATATTTATCATTATCCCATATTTTATATAATAAGAATATGCATCCTCTGAATAAAAAATACTGTTTAATTAAAAAAAATAGAACTTCTACTCGAATATGAGTACCCATCAAAAATAACACTTAAAAATAAATTAAAAATAATAATACGTCAGATTTAATCCATTCCCTATATATATATATATATATATATATATATATATATTAGCAGTAGAGCCCGGCGTTGCCCGGGGATGTAACAGTAAGAGATAGATCAAGTATCCACCATCATAAAGACTGAAAAATAAAATTGACAAAGATTATTGTTTAAGGTTGACGGACACGCATGTCTTAATTAGTTTTTTTTTTTTTTTTACGAATTGGTCACAAACCCAAACTCAAACAAAAACATTGTTTTCAATCGTTATGAGTCTCCCAATTGAATAGAATTTTATTATAAATAATTGTCTTGTAAATGGAATTTTTAAAGCATTCTGAATGTAAAAAATATAAAGAAAAAAGTGTGCAAGAGAATAAGAAAAACTACCTGCCAAAAAAAAAAAAAAAAAAAAAAAACTGAAGTTTTGTTTTATCGGCTGAAAAATCTAGGAAATCCGCTCCCATATTTAAAGGAACCCACACACACAAACAACCTGATGTGAGTTGTCCCCTTCCATTTTCATGATGTCTCTTAATCGTGTTTTTCAAATTGATTTTGTGCAAAACAATTATATTTTTCCCATTTTTGGTGCTGTTAGAACCACCACAAGGTAATTTTATGTAGTCCTGTGAAGTTTTGTTGAAATCGGTTTGAAAAATGTAGGAAATCCGATCCAATATATAAACGTTACAGACACACACACACACACACACACACACACAATCTGCGTTTTTATAATAAGTAAGATATTCGAATCTCACCATGGTTGGTTTGTCAGGAAGGAGACTCCCTGATGTTATCAGACTGGATCAGGCTCGATCACAGCATGCGGCAACTTTGGAAAGTGCCTGAAAACACCATGTGTTGACCCAAGCCTTGTTAGTGAAATTGGGTAGACAGAACTCATGTGGACCGTCGATAGCTGTACTAGCACAAAGTCACAAGTCATTGTGGCTGAGGGCTTGATCATGCTGGCCTTGTTCAAATTGTTGATCATGCTAGATATCACGCTCTCTCCCAGAAACTATAACTAAGCTCTGCTCAGCATAGTTGCAGTATAAACCACAGGTAGGGCTCTGTGGGTGTTGATCAAACACAAATGGTGCCTAAGCGAGCGTCTGCAACAGGGATTGGCTAGCTGCCCTAGTAGACAGGTATCCTCGAATACGAGTGACCAACTATTATATATGTATATATTAATTGGTATGACCCCATGCAAGGCAGTAAAGCCACTGAAACACAAGGGGTTACAGGGTGTGGAAGAATTAGGAACAGAAACATTAATAATGAGCGGGAAGAGGAAAGAGTAATCAGGTGGACAGTAGATAGTGATTGACATTGCATTTAAATTTTTTCAGATTAAAGTTAAAGCCGGAATGGAGTTCCACAAGTGAGAAGTGTGAGAAAAGAAACTGCTAGCATAAAATTTACACCTAGATCTAGCCAGCTCAGCTGTCAATTGAGGAGATCTCAATGCCAATCTAATACTGTGCTTAAATTCATGAAATCTAGGTACTATAGTGAAGAGCTCATCCAAGCAATTACTATGAAAGCATTTATAGAAAAGACACAGAGAAGCAACTTGGTGGGAAAATAAATGAAGCTGAGCTGCCAGATCAAGACCAATAATATTGCTGATTCTTCTTTGCATCTTATCAAGGAGCTGTTGATAAATAGCAGGTTCACGGGACCATATATGGCAGCAAAATTTTAAACATGGATGAATGGTAGACTCATAGATATGTAAGATAGATTCTGAAGAGAAAAATTGTCTCGTACAACACAGTGAACTGACTTTCTTGGCAGCTGACCTAGCAATGGGTTCAATATAGTCTTTCCACTATATGTCAGCTGAGAACATTAGCCTGAGAAGGCGCAATGAGTCACTTACCTGAAGGATAGCATCAGCCATACTGATGGAAGGCAGAAAGGGACCTCTCAGATGATTAATGGAAAAAAGTTTAGTTTTGGAGGCTTTAAAATTAACAAGTCATCTTTTGTCCCAGGTAATTACAGACAAGTGGTTGTTTTGGACATTGGCAGCCATTTTAACCTTGTCAGACTGACCAGCCTTACTACCGAGGCAGGAATAAATGGCTGTGTCCTTGGCATAGTTATCAAGCTGAGAGCTGATGTCAGTGGGAAGATCATTAATGAAAATTAAAAACAGATTAGGACCAATGATGGAGTCTAGGGTGACACCTGCATTAGTATGAAAGGATGTAGATGAGTCGACCTTCAAGATAACTTTCATTTTGCAATTTGATCGGAAAGACTGGATTCGATACAATATCAAACCAGAGGTGGGCTCTGTGGGGTTTGGGCTAGCAATTTCACTTCTGATTGTCTAGCCACTCTGGAAGACAGATGTGCTCAAAATTGAGTTACTGGCCATTTTACACACACACATACACACATACAATATTTATTATACATTTTATATATACAGAATTACAAATTTACAAATATAGAGGATTGAAATCATGCATCTGTTGTCCTCTTCCATAAATTCAATACATCAGAACACTTTATTGAATTACTTTTACTATATGGATGGTCCCAGGAGATACTCGTAGCAGTATAACTTTTTCGACAGAGTTAGATATAGACAAGAACAGTAAAATTAAAAAATAAATATTTGTCTACATCTGTTTATATATATCTGTTTATTTCACTAGCTGCAGAGATATCTATTTATGTTAATTATCTATCTATCTATCTATCTATCTATCTATCTATCTCGAATGCATTGTTTGTTTCTATCTATATATCTAAATCTATCTAGAATTCAATCTTTCTAACTTTCTATCTATCTTGAATGCTGTGTTTCTATCTATCTATCTATCTATCTATCTATCTATCTATCTATCTATCCTTAATGCAGTGTTTCTATCTATCTATTTTGATGCGTTTTTTCTATCTATCTATCTATCTATCTATCTATCTATCTATCTATCTATCTATCTATCTCAGTTCATTCTTATATATTTAAGTCTATTCATATCTATCTATCTATGTCTATTCATCTCTATTTATGTGCATATCTATCAATCTTTATATCGCAGTATGTTCATATCTATCTTAGGTACTACATCTCTGTCTATTTTGTCTATCTTATTCTATTCATATATATGTATCGTGAGAACTCTATATCTAGCTATGTAAATTTCTTCACTTATGGATAGATAGATTGAGAGATAGATCTGAATAGATTGATAGACAAAAAGATAGACAAACAAATACTGTCTATCTGTTTTTGTTCATAATCTATCAATACCGGATTAGTCCACTTATAATCTATCTATTTATCTATGCCTATGCATCTCTCTCAGGCTGACTCCATGAGCAAAATAGAAAAACATTCCAAGCAAGATCCAGACCCGCAATTCTGAAATTTTGAAATTCCAAGTTTTCAGTACAGTGATTGTTTTGGGATTTCACCGTCATCACTTCTACTGATAAAAACAATTAAAGGGACACAACTCTCCAACTTCCAATAGCTCATGTTCAAATGGAAAAAAATACTGTTCTCATATTACAGTGTTTCAAAATAAAGTTGTCCATGTTTTAAACTTTATTCTTAGAGGCCATATCCCAACATATACCATTTTGGAATAAGGCTGATTCTGGGAGAAAATTAAAAACATTCTTGGCAGGATCTTGACCAACAATCCTGGAATTCTGAATTCTCAAGTTTTCATTTCTGCAATTGTTTTTGGTGATTTTTTTTTTACATGATTTTTTGTGACAAATTTTTTTGTACAATAATTTTTAATAACTTGGAAATAACCAAAATTAATTGCGAAATCAAGCAAAAGTCCCCCATGAAACAAAAATAATTGTTTTCAGATGGAAAGTAAAATCTATCTACATTAAATTGTCTTTAAATTAAGTGACAGCAGAAGAATTATTGTTAAACTTTTAAAAGGTAAGCTTAGATATTAATGCAATACTTAAATGCAGCAATCAATTTTGAGTTCTTCTGTAGTTTATTGTTGCCTATCATATCTACTCCTCCCTACCTATTGTGACAAAGACCTAATCAAGAGCACTCTGCAAGAGCTAGCTTAAATGCCACCCGATAGGGCGGCTTTTAAGCTTGTTTTGAATATAGCCCTTGTTAGTAATACCAGTTTGGCCACCATGATCATCATCATCATCATCAACATCCCACTAACTGCCTTCAAGGTCATTATAAATATTTTGAATATTGTCCTTGTTAGTAATACCAGTTTGGTCACCATGATCATCATCATCATCATCAACATCCCACTAACTGCCTTCAATGTCATTATAAATATTTTGAATATAGCCCTTGTTAGTAATACCAGTTTGGCCACCATGACGATCATCATCATCATCAACATCCCACTGACTGCCATCAATGACATTATAAATATTTTGAATATAGCCCTTGTTAGTAATACCAGTTTGGCCATCATCATCATCATCATCATCATCAACATCCCACTGACTGCCTTCAAGGTCATTATAAATATTTTGAATACTGTCCTTGTTAGTAATACCAGTTTGGCCACCATGATCATCATCATCATCATCAACATCCCACTAACTGCCTTCAAGGTCATTATAAATATTTTGAATATTGTCCTTGTTAGTAATACCAGTTTGGTCACCATGATGATGATCATCATCAACATCCCACTGACTGCCTTCAATGTCATTATAAATATTTTGAATATTGTCCTTGTTAGTAATACCAGTTTGGCCATCATCATCATCATCATCATCATCATCAACATCCCACTAACTGCCTTCAAGGTCATTATAAATATTTTGAATATTGTCCTTGTTAGTAATACCAGTTTGGCCATCATCATCATCATCATCATCATCATCAACATCCCACTAACTGCCTTCAAGGTCATTATAAATATTTTGAATATTGTCCTTGTTAGTAATAACAGTTTGGCCGTCATCATCATCATCATCATCATCAACATCCCACTAACTGCCTTCAAGGTCATTATAAATATTTTGAATATTGTCCTTGTTAGTAATACCAGTTTGGTCACCATGATCATCATCATCATCATCATCAACATCCCACTGACTGCCTTCAATGTCATTATAAATATTTTGAATATTGTCCTTGTTAGTAATACCAGTTTGTCCACCACCATCATCATCATCATCATCATCATCATCCCACTGACTACCATCAATTTTGAATATAGCCCTGGTTAGTAATCTCAGTATGATCTCCATGACCATCAACAAAATCAACATCATTATCCCAATGGCTACATTCAATGTCATTTTGAATCTAGTCTTTGTCAATAAAGCCAGTATGGTCACCATGATCATCAGCACAATGATAATTATTATGATCATCCCAGTGGCTACCTTCAGTGTTATTATAAACATTTTGACTATAACCTTTTTCAGTAATGTCAGTACGGTCACTCTGACCATTACCACATAGTAAATGCTGAAGCTAACATATTTCCAAAACAAAAGTAGCTAAAAATAAAAGACAGCTTTTAAAACAGAACAAAACAAGGCTTGCTTAAGAATTTCACCAATCTTCTTTTATATCCTTTCTGTTCTGCATCATTCTGTGGATTCTTGGAAAAGAGTAAGACAGGAAGCATTAAAATCAAAGAATTGTATCTATTAGGTAAGAAATAAACCTGCAGGCAGCCCAATTCCTTTTTTATGTCTGTAATAATTCTGCTCTACAAGACATTGTTGTTTATTCTTCCTCTTACTGCCAATTGGCTTTTACAAACACTCAGAATTGGTCAGGTGCTGTTTCTGTCAATTGATTTTAGACAAATAGTTAAGCATAGCTTTTCCATTTCAATTCATTTTATTGCTGGAATTTTTTTTATTATATTTTTGTATTTTCATTACTTTTGCAGATATTTTTTTTAGAATACTGTTTTTCAAAAAAAAGGAAATTGTTGTTATTTCCCTCTTCTCATATTACGTTTTTAATGTTTTCTCATTTATTTTTATTTTTTTTCAAACTTGTATTTTTTATAAAAAAATTCATTGTTCATTTTTTTTTTAAACTTTTCTTTTGCTATCTATTTAGCCAAGATGAGCCTGGGACAAGGGGTGAAATAGTGGTTAAGCAGATCAATTTATATCAAGTAAGGAAGTCCTCCCTTAAAAAATCAGCATTGTAAAGCCTTGATTTTGCTGAGACTTGAATACAAACTTCTGGTACTGGTTGAAAATATGTAACTATTTCCGTCTTGAGTCAGAAAAATTCTTTTTTTTTTTTTTTCCTTTTCGACTTTTATGTTTTTTTAATTTCCTTCATTCTTTCATCTTTGCTTTTTAGTTTTTCTGTCTTTCTTTCCCATTCTTTTTTTCAGTGTTGCTATCTTTGATTAGCATTTCTTTCTATATTCTTATCTTTATGAAATATTTCTTTTTTATCATTTCATCATTTCTTCCTTTCTCTCTTTAATATTATTGGGTTGGTGCATAATTATCAGGCGTTTTTTAGGTGAGTTATTTGTTAACAAAAGTTGCTGTTTCGTTTACTTTTTTTTAATAAAAATATTATTTTATTTTCAGGTTATAAAAATACACCCTAGAATAAGCATCGAAAAATGTTATTGTTGAATTGATATATTTCTTTTTACATAATAAATATTGTTTAAAAACGCCTGATAATTATGCACCAACAATATGTTTATTGGGTTGTATCATTATCATATTTTCTAGGTGAGTTATTTGCTGATAAAAATTGCTGTTTAATAAAAATATTTTATTTTCAGGTGATAAGAAAGTGTGTCGATAATAATACGCTCCGGATTAATCGTTTAAAAATGTTATTGTTGAATTGTTATGTTTCTTTTTACATAATTACATAATAAATATTGTTTAAAAACGCCTGATAATTATGCACCAAACCAATACTAGCTTCATTTAAATTTTCTATCTTTGTTTCATCATTTCTTCTCATTCTTTTCTTTTTTTCATATTGTTATCTTTGTGTTGCATTTTCTTCGTTTCCTACTTTGATATTGGCATGGGTTGTTTAGCATTTCTTTTTTTATTTTCTTCCATTTTTCTTTTTTTCTTTATTACTGTTATCTGTTTAGCATTTCCTTTTCTCCTTTTCACTCTCTTTAATATTACAAACTTTTATTAATATTTCCTTCTTTCTTTCTTCCTTTAATATTGCTATATTTATTTAGTATTTTCCTTCTTTTTTGCTTTCTTCAACCCTGTTGTACCTTTGTTTAATATTTCCTTCTTTTATTCTTTCCTCAATTTTGTTCTCATTGTTTCTTTCTTTTTCATCTTGCTATCTGTGTTTACCATTTCTTCTTTCTTTTTTCTTTCTTTCTCTATATTGGTATGGTTGTTTAGCATTTCTGTCTTTCTTTCTTTCTTTCTTTCTTTCTTTCTTTCTTAGATTTTTCTTTTTTCCTCTTGCTGTCCTTGTTTAGCATTTCCTTCTTTCTTTCATTCTTTTTTTCATTCATTTGTTCATTCGTTCTCTCTTTCTTTTTTTCTTTGTTCTTTTTGTTTTCATCTTGCTATACTTGTTTAGCATTTCCTTCCTTCTTTCTTTCGTTCTTTCTTTCTTTTTTTCTTTCTTTCTCTATATTGGTATGGTTGTTTAGCATTTCTGTCTTTCTTTCTTTCTTTCATTCTTTCTTTCTTTCTTTCTTTCTTTCTTTCTTTCTCTATATTGGTATGGTTGTTTAGCATTTTTGTCTTTCTTTCTTTTTTCTTTCTTTCTTTCTTTCTTTCTCTATATTGATATGGTTGTTTAGCATTTTTGTCTTTCTTTCTTTCTTTCTTTCTTTCTTTCTTTCTTTCTTTCTTTCTTTCCCTATATTGGTATGGTTGTTTAGCATTTCTGTCTTTCTTTCTTTCTTTCTTTCTTTCTTTTCTTTCTTTATATTGGTATGGTTGTTTAGCATTTTTGTCTTTCTTTCTTTCTTCTTTCTTTCTTTCTTTCTTTCTTTCCCTATATTGGTATGGTTGTTTAGCATTTTTGTCTTTCTTTCTTTCTTCTTTCTTTCTTTCTTTCTTTCTTTCTCTATATTGGTATGGTTGTTTAGCATTTTTGTCTTTCTTTCTTTTTTCTTTCTTTCTTTCTTTCTCTATATTGGTATGGTTGTTTAGCATTTTTGTCTTTCTTTCTTTTTTCTTTCTTTCTTTCTTTCTCTATATTGGTATGGTTGTTTAGCATTTTTGTCTTTCTTTCTTTTTTCTTTCTTTCTTTCTTTCTTTCTCTATATTGGTATGGTTGTTTAGCATTTCTGTCTTTCTTTCTTTCTTTCTTTCTTTCTTTCTTTTTTCTTTTCTTTCTTTATATTGGTATGGTTGTTTAGCATTTTTGTCTGTCTTTCTTTCTTCTTTCTTTCTTTCTTTCTTTCTTTCTCTATATTGGTATGGTTGTTTAGCATTTCTGTCTTTCTTTCTTTCTTTCATTCTTTTTTTAATACCGTTATCTTTTTTTAGTATTTCCTCCTCCTTCTTTCTTTCTTTAATATTGTTATCCTTGTTTGAGATTTCTTTCTTTCTTTCTTCTTTTCATCTTGCTATCCTTGTCTGTCTTTCTTTCTTTGATATTGCTTTCCTTCATTAATATTTTACTCTTTCTTTATTTTTCTTTAGTATTTCTTTCTTTCTTCCTTTCTTTCTTTTACATTTTTCATTTTCTTTCTTTCTATTCTGTCACTTTCCTTCATATTCCTTTCTTTTATTATTCTCTCACTCTTTCATATTTTTTTCTTTCCTTCTACTTTCCTTTTTTCATCTTCCTTTTCCACCTTCCATTTTCCTCATTTTCTCTTTGTCTTTTCTTCTTCATTTCTATCTCTATAACTTTCATCTTTTCTTTATGGGACCAGTGCCATTTTCTCCATTGCTAACAGCTTCAAAAGAGAAAGCCTTTTAAAGACGATTAAACATGTCAGATGCTACTAGACACACTGGGATCACTGACATCAAATGGTAATCTCTTAGCAAAATCCTTCCAGATAAAGACACACATTAAGGCATTGTCTTTGCTCCACAACTCACTTGTCTTGCTAAGAGATTTATTAATAATAAACCTTGCTGCCTTTTGGCGCTAATTCCCCTGATCCTTGCATTTCTGATAAACCAACTTAGAGATATATTTCTCTAAAATCTGGCAGATAGGCATGAAGAACTCAACTTTGATTTGATGGTTTTCCACCCAAGTCAAAACGACAATGACAATAATCTTGCCAATAATTCTTTTTTGGGTGTAATAATATCTGTCGGTTTGGCAAGTTAAATCTATATTATTATCTATGTTTTCATCCCCTGTGTCATAATTATTAATTTTATCATTATCATCATCATCATTCTTATCATATTAATATCTTCCCATTGTAACATTGTGTATAAAAAAAAAGGGAAGAATTTAATGTTAAAGTTTAAAAAAAAAATCTAGGTAATAAACAGCCACACAGGTTGTTAGAAATATACTGTATTTCTGACATTAAATTTGACAGGATCAGTTAATGATCACGAGTCCTTCATGACCACCCCCTACCCCAGAAAAATAAATCGGGATATTTCGGTGCCTTTTCATTGGCCCATGAATTGACAAATCAACAATTAGTGAGAACACGAGATTTCCTGGTGAAAAAGAAGTTTCTTCATTGAAAATTTTCGAGTGAGAATGTTTCTAATGATAGCAAACATGTGGATCTTCAAGATGGTGAATTTTCTCACATACTCTACGCTCTCTCCATCACTGACAAGTAGTTGACAACATTTACATACTGGTGTACAATAAAGTAGTCAATACAGATCATATGCATTGTGCTATTTATTAAAACAAGGAAATTTCTCTTGGTGAAAAGAAGGATGATCTGATTGTTAGTTGGAAACAAAAACATTGTGATTTTGGGGTATTAGCCTGAAGAAAATCATGGAGACTAAAAACCGAACAGAACCAGTATGGCTCACTATAGCACAACAAACAAAGTCGCTCAAATGCCTGTCCAAAATATAACCAACTTGGTAGAAATTATTTTATCTAATTATGTGGAAGCCACACATCAAAGTGACTATTGTAACCAAACTGGTGCTAATGATTTTATTTATGTGGAAGTGACACATCAATGTGACTAACATAATCAAGCTGGTGTAAGTGATTTTATTTAATTATATTGAAGCCACACATCAAAATAGCTAACATAACCAGGTTGGTGCAAATGATTCTATTTAATTATGTGGAAGCCAAACATCAAAGTGACTAACATATCCAAGCTGGTGCAAATGATTTTATATAAAATGGCGAAAATTTACTCTTCACACTCTGCATATATATATATATATATATATATATATATATATATATATATATATATATATATATATATATATATATATATATATATATATATATATATATATATATATAAGTAATTCATTAGTCTAGAAGAAACCTTAACAGAATGAAGAAAGCACTGAACGTCCGTTTTGTCCTATATTTGGGACTCAGCAGTGCGCATCCACTACCGAGAATTGAAAACCGGACAGTTACATTGACAGGCAAACGTCATACCAACTGTACTAACGGGCCTTGATGACGAAGAGGTAGTGAACTAGACTCGAATTACTTAATTATCTCAAATCCTCCTTAATTTCTATCATATATATATATATATATATATATATATATATATCTTCAGATGCTGTATGTTTTTGAAACTAATTGTCTTGCCAAAGAGCTAGTAAAGACTGGGATTCTAAATATTTAAAAAAATTTTTAAAAGCAATTGTAAGCATCTACCTACATCTGGCACTTTCCCAACATTCAAGCCATTAATTTTTATTCACTATCAAATATTTGACATAACAGTAATAGAAATAAAGACTTAAAAACAATTACAAAATTACTTTTTATGTCTTTAAGCAGAAACTAATTTAGTATAGCAATGTTTAGTTTTCATATTAACCTATACTGACTAGTTTTATTTATTTAAAGTGCAGTTAAATAAAAAAAGAATAAAGGGAAAACAAACCAATTAAATAAACCAATTTATCTAAAAATACAGTCTTAACTGTAAAATCCCTTTTTCTTCCCATTTTTTCATGATACTCACTCTTTACAAAGGTCTTGTTTGATTGGTTGATTCTGTTTAGTGACATGTCAACCTCTATGGGTTATTCAAAACACACCAAACACCATGATGTTCACTGGATATTTAGTTTTCTTCACTCTCATTACATCAGAATCCTCTGTAATGTCCTCAGATTAATATCTAAACACTCTGAAATCTTTGTATTAGAGCTTCTGTCATGAATGCCAAGTAGAATAACATGCCATTTCCAAATTTCTGGCAGAGCAAATTGCATCATGGTGCTCTTTTTTTTCTTACAGATAGTGCCCGACTGATTCTACTATACTGTTCTGACAACAAAATTAAAAACCAATTATGCACATGTGTGAAATGAAACATATAAAATGGCGACAATTTACCCATCGCACCCTTTATACTAGGTCTGATCAAAAAGTATCAGGACTGGTGGTATATGACAAAAACTATAAAACATATCAATTTGGCTTTTAGTCTCCTTCAAATTATTCCTCTTCTCATTCCACACAGATTATCCATTAGCATTGCCATTGATGGAAACGTTTATAGGAACATTCGCCATAAACATTTTTGCCATAGGAAAACTTGCCTCAGGAATTTTCACCATAGAAAACTTTGCCATATAGAATTTTTGCCATAAGACAATTTTGTCGCTTTTTTTTTTATATGCGAAATACCTTGTTATCAAGTATATCTGGCTCACACTACTGTTACTTTGATTTAAACATTTTAGTAAGCCAAGTTATAAGATGTACCCAAATTTGTAGAAACTAATTGTGTCTTTGAAAAAGGAAGAAGCATTAGCAAAAAAGGAAAAGTTTTGTTTCGATTGAGGGGATGCAGTACAAATGAAGAAAATATATGTTGATATCAATGCAAGACTTCAATGGAAAATGCTTCATTACAGTCCAATGCAAAAAACACATTATTTATGAAGTATTGCTTGGAATTTGCACACATCTTAAATTATTTCTTTGTTAATTTAATATATTTTTAGTCTTTTATTTTTTAAATAAATGTCTACTTTTTAATTTCTTTTCTGATATTTGACCCTATAAAAAAAAAGACATCCATAAATACTTTGATAACAAGATACTTCACCTTTTAAATTGAACATTACTCCAAAAGGGACGTTCAAGATAAGGGTATAGAAAAAAAATGTGAAATTTTCTTACAGCAAAAATCCTATATGGCAAATTTTCCTATGGCGAAAATTCCCAAGGTGAGTTTTCCTTTGATAAAAATGTTTATGGCAAAGGACCAACAACTGCTTCACAAGATATGGTCACTGATGTAACCTCTGTGGTTTGGTTGTCCCACCACATCACAATAATATAAACACAATCATTGTTATATACAAAGGAAGTGAGTGAGAATGTTATAACTTAGTGTGTATGTGCAACAAAGTTAAAGCTCAGTCTGTGCTAAGCGGCTTCGCTCTGTGTACATCAGTTCCATAATCATAGCAACAGTCCCAATACTTTTTGATCAGACCTTGTATAAGAAATAATGCGGAGAATTAGATTTTGTTTTCTTTTTCAGGAGATTACTTCAGATACAAGGAAAAAAATGTTTTGATTTTATCAACTGCAAGTTTTTGTGGAACATGTAATTTTTAAAGAATAAATAAATCTTTTTATCAGGTCATATATAACAAACAAGGAAGATGATTACTTTTATGCTTTTTTTTTTTTTGGTGTGGGGGGAGATTTTACTTCAATTATAAGAAAAAAACATTTTAGTGTTTCTCTTCACCAGTCATTCGGTAACTGGCTTACAAAAAGTAAAATAAATAAAAATCTTGACCATATATATTGAATCACTTGCTAATCAGTCCATATCAGGCCATAATAACTTTTATAGTTTTAATGATAAATCAATATCCAGTGTTTTTTTTTTCAGCCACAACTTTTAAGTATGTATGTAATCTCATTTATAAATATATACATCACAGGCAAAAGTTTGGGGCTACTCTGCATTACTTAAAAAAATGTACCTTAAAATGAGATATTTTTGTACTTTTTTAAAATAAACATTAAAATTTCAGTACCTACAGTCTATTTACTTTTATTTTTTGGTCTTTTGCCAAACTCTTCTTACTACCAAAAATTCAAATTTGGATTCTACTGTTCACAATTCATTTTGCTAAATTATGAATATTTTGTACAAGAAACATTACATTTTGTTTTCACCATTAACTTCTCAGTAGAACAAGAAGATGAGGATGATAACAGATCTCAGTGTTTGAACCAGTGGATGAAGAGGGCTACATATGACGGACATTTTGCAGGAGGCACCACTTAAAATTATAACAGAGTCAGCGGCAGTCTGTTGCAGTTTCATAACTGGATTCTGCATGTCTCATTCCATATGTGCCGCAGAGGAAGTGTGTGGGTCACTTACTGGCAAGTTGAGGTCAACCTTAAACAAATTCTTGCCATTGGCACTTTGTTCTATTCTAATTTTTTTTTACCTTCAACCAACTCTTATAAAACCAAATGGTGATAAGGAATGGATGAAGGAAGCAGGCTTTAGTGAAATTCGAAGCTTCTTGTTCCAAACCTGCACATTAGCAGCAAATTTAGGGATCAATACTGTCATCATAAAGGAAGCAATCACCAAAGAAGAAATTAAATTCCTGGATACAAAATAAAATTGATGCCAATGACAAGGTAGACATGGACAAACAAAAATGGAATACCTTGAAAAGTGAAGGAATTTTGGGAAAAGAATAGTGTAATTAATACT